GATCTGTGCAGAGCACAGGGTTGATAATGCAGAGATGTGTTTGTTGTTGCTGAGCAGAGCTCACACAGAGCCAAGGCCTTTGCTGCTTTCCTCACTGCCACACTGGTGAGGGAGTTGGGGGTGCATGGGAGATTGGGAGGAGACACAGCTGGGACAGGTGACCCAACTGACCAAAGTCATGCTCAGGAGGTGGGAGGAAGAAGGAGGAAGGGAGAACATCTGGAGTGATGGTGTTTGTCTTCCCAAGGAACCATCTCATGTCATGTGATGTGTCTCTGCTCTCCTGGAGGTGCTGAACAGCTCCTGCCTATGGGGAGCAGTGAATTAATTCCTTGTTTTGTTTTGCTTGTGTGTGCAGCTTTTGCTTTCTCTATTAAACTGTCTTTATCTCAACCCATGAGTTTTTCTAGCTTTTACCCTTCTGATTCTCTCCCCCATCCCAGTGGTGGGGCAGTGTGTGTCATGTGATGTGTCTCTGCTCTCCTGGAGGTGCTGAACAGCTCCTGCCTATGGGGAGCAGTGAATTAATTCCTTGTTTTGTTTTGCTTGTGTGTGCAGCTTTTGCTTTCTCTATTAAACTGTCTTTATCTCAACCCATGAGTTTTTCTAGCTTTTACCCTTCTGATTCTCTCCCCCATCCCAGTGGTGGGGCAGTGTGTGAGTGGCTGTGTGGGGTTTGGTGGCCGCTGGGGTTAAGCCACATTTCTTAATTCCCTCAGTATTTGTGTCAGTATATTTTGTCAGGGCAAAGTTCACTTCCAATACTAATTTTCTCACATAATTTTGTTTGCACTATCCTCACCAATGTCTAGCAGCAGTGAGACCCTTCAGAAACATGTAATGCAATCAGTTTCAGAATTGGTTCACACCTTTGTACACAATCCACTGTCAGTGTCAAGATCAATCAGAAGTGCCTCCCTTCAAAGATAGCTCAGGGGTTTGACTGGTTTTTTTATTCCCCATGTATGAAAAAACACTACATGAATACAGTTTAAAGAATAATTTTAAAATCACTTCAATAAAAGTGAAGCCTCTAGGAACGATGAGACCTTTTCTTAAACTGGTATGCTGCTTTTTTCAAGCATGTGATGCCATTTGCTAAACTGAAAATGTTACACCTCACTACTAATAGTTAAATATCACTCAGAGATGAATAAAGGACAATCTGGTTGATTTAAAAAGAAATAAGTTTGAAATAATTTCCATTAAATAGTATCTTTTGATGTGTGTTGTGTATTTCAGTGTTTCTTTTTGTGGTAACAGCAATGCAAGCTTAAACCTAAACTCAGTGGTCTACCCAGACACCACTGTTCAGCCTTCTAGCAAAGCCCTAGAATAGTAAGCAAAGCTCACAGGAATGATGCTTATTCTTCTCAGTCACCTTTCACAATGTTTAGGAGAAAAGAGGAGAACATTCAGTCTACTTTTTGCAATTCTTGCTAAGACCCTCCTAGATTCACCGAAGTCACACAAACATATGGGCACAGTCCATATAATTAGACATATTAGATATAATGGCATCAAATACACTGTGCATACAAAATTCAGAATATTTGCACCCCAGATATACTTATATCCTCTCTAGCTGTGTGAGTTGAGATAAAATTTCCAGTTGTTTTGGCACAGACTTTTTCAGAAATGAAGTTTATGGCCATAAATCATCTCTGATTACTTTAATAGGGTCATTTCGAATGTGAAGATGTCTTTGCAAGTTCATAAATTTTCTTGAACATTTTATGCCTGTGGCTTGTATATCGTAATTCTGACAATTCATGCAGATAGCATTATGTCATAAATTACCACATTTAGTCTGGCATGAGCCTCAGAACTCAAGAACACTGCCTCTGTTATTTAAATATGTCACACAGCTGAAGCACAGGATCCAATATCCCAAATAAAGGAATGTTTAGGAAAAAATGAACACTTAGATTGAGGACTGGAATTTTCCTGACGATTTGGGATGCAACTCTAATTGAAAGAAAAAAAAAATCCATGGTAGCCTAACACTTTGAAGCCTTCTTGAAAGTGCAATTTTAAAAAAAATTCCCACATCAAGCATTAGATTGCAATAGCTTGTGCAAGATTTGTCATGACACAGAAGTGTTGCACTTAATACTTAGCTTGTATAGTCTGAAGAAAAACCAAGTAAACAGTAACTTTTACTTTAAAATTAGCCTAGATGGAGAACTCACCCTGACAAAATCTGTACTGCTTAAGATAAAATCTATATAATGTGAGCTATGAATATGTTGTGGAAAAACCATTAGGCTTGATTATAAACCAGATGATATGAGAAATATTATGAACATACCCCACTGCTATGGAACATAATTAGTTCTCAGGCTTTTAAACTTGCACACACTTAGGTTTTTACATCTGAGTAGCTCCACTGAAATCAATCATATATATCAAATCAAACTAAACTAATTTATACAGATTATACACCAAATCAAATCATGTTAGATTAAACACCAAGTGCCTAGCAAATAAAAAAAACCTCCTCCAACCAAACTTGCCCATTCAATACACAGTGACTGGCATATTTTTTATAGAATAGGCTGCAGCTTAATCATTTCAACCTTTAATTACTGCATCAGATAATGACTATTTTGAACATATGCTTCTCTGCTCTGCTAGAAGACATGAATGAAAGGGACCCAAGTTCATATGCATTCTACTGTGTGTGCAGGTGGGGGAGGGAACAGCAGGCTAAAGAGCAAAAGGAACCAAGTGGCAACAATTGGAGGAAATGGTGTAACAGCTGCTCCTTTCAGCTCTCAGATTCCCCTAGAAGGAGACTGCCTGAGGTGGACCACGACACAAAAGGATAAAGAAGATGAAAACTGATGCAAAGCAGGGAAATAACTGCTGAGACCCCTGAGCCTACAGCCCAATAGTCCCAAGCTGTGTGGCAAGACCTCTTTAGCATGCTACAGAAGCTGGTGATGAACTACATATTACCATGAGGCAAACTGGCTCCTAGCAGTATTGTCTGCATGTTATGTGTAATGATAACCAGCAGTCCTCTGGGAACAGGATGCAATGATTTCATCTCCGTAAGCATCTGAGCTCCCCTTGGATACAGAGACCATTAAACTCAGAACAGAAGGGTAAATTTTAGGCAATGATTTCCAATTGGAGGGTGAAGACAAGTTATGCTCAACAGTACTGTCAACCACTGATATTTTACTGCTGTCTGCATTGATCACTGCTAAGGACAATAGGAACTAAAACTGTATCTCTTTTTCTCAGTCCCACAGCACACGCTGTATTTTCTGAATGAAAGTACTTAATAGGTTTCTTTGGTAATATTATTGGAAATGCCACTATAACAGGAAGTGGCTCTGTATTATTGACACTGAAAAGTATTGGTGTTTTCATTACTGTTAAACTAATATTTCATACTCTTAACGTAATGTATCATTTATTTTGTACTACAGAGACCTTCTTGCCCCTTTAACATAATTGCACACCACTTTGCTTAACTGTCTGGTGTTTTTGTAGAACGAAAACCAACAGACAAAACCTATTATGTGTATATTTTAAATGAACAGTAGGACATGACAAAATGCAAGGTTTCAGGAGCTTCCTACAAAAAATAATTCTGTGTGCAACAAAAAGAAATGGAACTTCCACGTGATCACTGTAACTTTTTGCCAGGAGAAATGGGGGAGCAATGGAGGGAAAAGAGAAGCTGTAAAATGTAAGGTGGGGGTTGGTCTCTTCTCCCAGGCAACCAGCAGCAGGACAAGAGGGCACAGACTCAAGCTCTGCCAGGGGAGGTTTAGGTTGGATATTAGGAAGAGATTTTTTTACAGAGAGAGTGATCAGGCATTGGAATGTGCTGCCCAGGGAGGTGGTGGATTCACCATCCCTGGAGGTTTTCAAGATGAGACTAGATGTGGTCTAGTAACCATGGTAGGGTTGGACTTGATGATGTTGGAGGTCTTTTCCAACTCGATTGATTCTATGATTCTATTCTATTCTAAGATAGGCCTATCAGCATTGAAGAATTATGCATAGAGATGGTAAAAAACTTTAGAAAAAGCATGTCACAAAGGACAAAAGGCATGTAAAAGGACATTTCAAGACAGGAACCTAGAACTTCCTACACTGCAGAAGCCAAGCAAGTAACAGGGAAATGTATGCTGAAATCACTATGAATTCTACTGTCTATTTCTGATAAAAAATAAACCACCACAGCAAATACCCACAATGAATGACCTCTAAAAACCATGTCCATTAATAGAATACTGAGTCATTCTGCAGTTAAAGGAGCAAACAGAAATACTAATTATCCAGCTGATTAATTGCAACAATCATGGACAAAAATATTCAAACAAATTAATTTTCCACGGAATATTTTTCAGAGTATCATGGAAAACTCTGATGACTAGCACAGACACCACAAGTCGCTGCTTACCTTTCCTCTCACACTGACCTATGAGAAAGCAGAGAAACCTTCCTTCCAGACTAGAATTCCACATTGTCTGAGAATTATTAAGGCTCAAGGGAAACATGAGGAGTCTGAACCCAAGTACCAACAGAAGGGATTGCATCAGCATTACAGCTTTTCATATCCAAATCAACTAATATTTCTTTTAAATTCCTGATGTTCTGAAAAACTCAACATGTGAATTGATGTATTTTTCATTGCTGCTCAACAAATATGCTTTGTTGAACCGATTTGTAAAACTGGTGTTTTATCTAAAATCCAACTAAATAAAAACTATATATACAGGAAAAGGAAAGCTAGTCACATATAACCTGAATTGTCAATTTTTATTATTTCCACAGATCCAAGCATGGAAACCTGGAGTGCATCAGTTCTGGAATTTATTGGAACCACAAATGCTTAAGCCGCATAGATCCTTGCCTACAGAACTAAAAGGTCCTTGAGCCAATTCTCTCCAAGTGTTTTCCACTCTCCAAATGCCTAAGATGCCAAGAAGGCAGAAAAAAACATTGGGAAAGCTAAAGTAACTTAAAAATTAACTTACTGATAATGCTGTCTCTTGTTCTCCAGAAAAATGATATGCTAAACTTAAGCAATATGAAGCTTCTCCTTCCATTTTCATATTACCTCCTGAAGGATGAAAGATACTGTTACCAGAGTAATCTGAACAAAATGACATTAGCACAGACAGTTCTTGCAGCTTCTTAAATAACATACACATGTTCAAATACTGGAGTAAATTTTCCCTTCTCCTTACCCCTGCCATTTCTGTCTTTCCAAAAATATACAGTGGTAATTAAAAATAGAGGCTATTGATTTAAACAAAGTTCAACAAGAAAGTTCAGCAAAGTCAGAGAAAATATCTTCCAGTAATGAAGTACAATCAAATTAACATGCTGCAATGTTCCCTCATATATTATAATTTTTTTGCCCCTTTTTATAGTTTAATTCTCTCTAATTCTATTCTATCTATCCCAGCTACTAGTAACAGATTAATGTTGGGCATACATTATTAAATTAAAAAAACTAACGTATCTGGTGATAAATATTGAATTAATATTACATATTAATTGTATGTGCAATTCATATGCAAAATATGCCCCTCAAGGAATACCATGAAAGGCTCTTGAACTGCTGTGCATGGAAAAAGATGATTATTGGAGAACTTCTGTCTTACTTCTGAGAATCCCTTCAATAACCATCTAGGAAAATCATCCAGAAAAAATAAGCCCCTAGAAGTGGAGCTTTAACAACATCAGTCACTAGTAGTGTGCTCAGGGATCAATACTGGCACCAGTACTGATCACTGTCTTCAGACTAAGGGCCTGGGAGCATCTCTGTAGGAAGAGAGGCTGAGGGAGCTGGAACTGTTGGGACCACAGAAGAGAAGGCTCAGGGGTGATCTTATCAGTACCTCTTAGGCATCAGTAAAGAAGAGGGAAGCTGTTCTCAGTGGTGCTCAGTGACAGGACAAGACAGAATGGGCACAAACTGGAATTCCATCTGAACTCAGCAAAAACCCCTTAAAATTAAGGGTGTTTGAATGGTGGGAAATGTTTTCCAGGATGGTTATGGAGGCTCCACCTCCATAGAGCTTGACTCTTCTAAACCTGATGTCCTAAAGTCTCTTCCTACCTCTGCTATTCTACCGTTCTGTAATTTTTCACTTTAGGTTTCAAAGCATTTGTGTCTAGTCAGATATACAGAAGGAAAAGTGTTTGCTTATTATCGAAATTTTTTTCAAGTATTAAATAACTATGTAGAGTGAAAAGGTCATTTTTCCAGCACATAATGCCACTCAAAACTTGCCAAATCCACAGTGACTAGCCAATCCAAAGCAGTGATCTGAGCTTCCAACAGTGACCTCACTTTCTGATTATGGGTTCACAGTTTCACATTATTGTTCCCACAAGGCTGTCAGGATTTTTTTGAGATAAAGCTTTGAGGAATCTAAGAGTTTCTTTGCTGTCAGCAAGAAGGAATTTCTGCTTTAGTGAGATCTGCAAGTGTATTGATAGCATTTGTCTTTGAATTTCATAGGAAACAATCACCCAGTCAAACACTTGACAATTTCTACTTTGCTCTTGGGAAAATCATGACATGCACAGCGAATAAAGGAATGAGAAAGCATTATTTTCTACCTACCTTCTTTTGCCATCTTTAAAGCTTTTTTTAGAGTCTTGATGGCCTGTTGGTGCTCTTCATTTTCTAGCATTTTGTCTGCTAGTAATGTATAAATTCTCCAGAGATGCTCACACGCCAGTGAATTGTAAGTATGGCCTGTCACATCCTTCCACAGTGAACCCTCTGTTAGCTGATAAAATGCTTCATAATGCTCAGCAGCTTCCATGACATGACCTGAAAAACATCATTCATCATTAAAATCAGCATAATCAACAAAAATATTAAGAGTTAACAGTCTATAATATTTTCTATCATTAGAAGGTAAGTTGCAGCCAAACATCTCACAGTTTTTCCAAGAGTCTTCAATATATAACTTAGAGATCACTGGAAAATACTGCCCAATCTCACAGCAACCAGTAACACTAATTTACGTTTATCACATTTTAAGTTAGCTCTCCTTTGTAGAATCACAATGTTGAGGGAGTGTGATCCCAAGGGGTCAAAGTCAGGATTTTCTAGAAAATTTATTTATTCTAGATTCATGAATATAACCTTTGTTGTTCTCATAGATCAAAATCACATCTATGCATAAATAGTCACAGTTGAAACTGTAACTCAAGTTTCCTTTTCCATGCTGAAAACCTGTGCTGAAAGACATAAAATGTGGAGGATAATGGTGTCAAAACTGTGAGGGAAAAAATTATCTTTATTCAAATAAATTAATTTATTCAAAAAGAATTATCATGCAAAGCAATTCGTTCAACAGTTCTTACAAGGCCAACTCTGGTGAGTTTGTCTAGGAGATTTAATGCATGAGCATTAACTACTGATAGATTAATTATTGAGCCTGACGTAATATACTTCAAGGTCTAAGCTCCTCAGACACCTTTAAGGCAAAGGAAAGTTGGAAGATAAAGCTCAGTTCATTCTAACACGCAAGTAGTTTCCCCTCTACCTTCAGCTAGATTTATCTCTGTGCAGGCATTGAATCTAGGAGATGTCCATGCTTTCCGTGCAATGGAATTTCAAAGCCCCTTGAAAGAACAGAAAATCTCTGCCTTCTGTAAAATGGGTACAGAAAAACTGCTGGGAGCAGGGAAGATGAGAACCATTTACACTAAAAATAGTTTAAAAAAGAAGCATTCTGGTCACAGGACCTTGTTTAACAAGGAATGTTCTATAGCAGAGAGAACTGTGGACATGACTCTGCCTTCATAAGTCTGTGTGTGATACAGGAATATTGTCCCATAGATCATCAATATATCAACTGCTATTTCTATTAAAAACTGAAACAAAGCATAAACTAAGCTCATTTAGATGTGTTTGCAGTTTACATCTCTTCTGAAATGTGATTTCTAAGGAAGGACTGCTGTTGCACAGAGTTTTTACAGTGCTGCATTCAAACCACAAAAAGAATCAGGAAGGAGAAACGTTTCCCAGTTGTAGGAAAGGAAGGGAGAGATGATTTGGGAAGGCTCTTTAAGCATTCTTAGAGAAAATGAGGCTAGTTCCCCAGGCCTCTCTAGCTAACCTGGAGGCAGCAGAACAGCTCTGACAGATTTCTCTTATTAACTGAATTTAGCTTTGTCTTTTGCCTGTGTTACCCCTTTATAACAGGCTATCAGCTTAGCAATATAAGGCATAACTCATCTTGCTTAGAATTAAATTTATTTTCATATTAAGCTTCTCTGATGATTAAAATGAGTTCAACTAAAACTGACAAGCACAAGAAACTTCTCCTTCTAAGACGCAATGAATTAAATGAGTTTGAGACAAATAATTGTGGCTCTACAAGTCATGTAAGAGTCCCAGAAGACACAACAAGTGCTGAAGAGTGAAGTGCCAGGTGAAAGGGGAGACAGAAGACTTTGTTCAGTTCCACTCTAGATCAGGAGAGGTATCAGACAGATGGCCCAAAATAATGGGAAAACAGGAAAAGATCTGTGCATTCTTGCCAAAATATCACAGACTGAGCAAATAGAAGTGCAAAGTGGTATCATCACAACCAGTATGAGCTGTTTACAGGCTCAGTGACAGTATATGTAACAGGAAATAGACTTGCTTAAGCCAGATGAAAACTCTTGTCCATTCTTAAGGGGCCTCCAATTTTCTGCCTATCCAGTCTAGCTAAGTTCTTAAGCCACATTCAATACAGAAATCACAAGGGTTCCAGTTATCCAAGGTGCTAAATGGAGATGTGAGGTTTTAGTCAAAGAGGCTGGTGTTGGATTTGTGACAAATGATAGACAGTTGAGTGGAAATTCAATGTTAATAGCTAGATCTAGCATCTTGTCCACTTGTGTATTCTTAAGCACATGCAGACTCCTCCTTGGATTTCTCCCCAAAGTTCATTAATAAATTGATTGTTCTTTTCAAAGGTTACTGTCATCCATTTAAGTGATCTGACTACACCACATATACAATGAGCTTTTTAGAATAATAGAATTTGATACACGTTACTCACAGATTTCTAGTTAAAATGGAAACAAATGAGTGGTATAAACTCGATATATCATTTGAAGCTGAACACAACATCTGAGTTTATCCTAAGACTCTGTAATAGAATCTCTTAACAAGACACATCCTTTAGGTAAGTCATACCTGTAACTGTAAGAACTGTTGTTTAAATTGTTAGGACTATCAGGTATGGTAATTTTTTCCCAGGCTTCCTCACTTGTAGTATCCCCTTGAGAAAGTTTCTGTCAGACAAGAAATTGAACTCATACATTCCATGTACTCCATAGTTCTCAAGAGTTGACCTAACCATAAGAGCTGTGACCTGACATCCTTTTTTCCAGATCTCAGGGAAACTTCTTTAGAAACAATCCATCTACATCAGGCTTCAAAATAGAAAAGCAATACGATCTGTTTGGTAATACTCATGTGGAACTATATTACATTTGGCTTCACTGAATTACCAAGAAAGACTATGAAATAAGAGGTAAAATAATCTGCTCACAGGAATAACAAGAAGAAAATGCTGATCAACAAGCCAAAATACCTGCTAGATTCCTAAACAAGGAATCCCTTACATGGCTGGGAATTTGCTTACTGATGACTCTTTGAAATAAAACAAGTTATTTGGAGACTTCTCAAATTCATGGAAGACAAAACACTTCAGACTTTGGAATTTAATTCCTCCATGAAAATAATCTGAACTCCCTTATTGCCATTGGCAAATGACCTATCAGTTTATTTCTTTAATCCATAATCTGCATGTGAAACTCAAATGTGGTGTGAAAATAATCTTTCCAGGGGGTGGCAAGTTTGTTCACTGTCATGAGTCAGTTCAGCTGGAATTGATCTGGTCAGTGCATTCCAATTCTTATATGCTGAACTACTGCAACTGTTGGATACAGGTAGATGCTGTTTGAAAATCTTGAAAACCATTAAAACAAAATAATAAGCCAATTGCAGAACATTTCTGAGAGTGAGGACACTTTTAGCTCACTTGAGCAGTGGCAAGGCACAGTTTTAAATTACTTTAATCATCAACTGAAAGAAATGAAGAAGAAAGAAAAGCCAAATGGGAGGAAAAACAATGGAGTAGGAAAATGACTTGGAACAGTTTGCAGAAATGCGTCTTTATATCTCTAGGAACACAAAGTGAAAATCCAGAGGATGTTTCTAGGAAATCTATATTTGAAAAGTCAATTTGCAAAATGTTCCATAAAGCAGTAAAGCTATTTTCAGTTGGCAACATTAATAGCAATTGCATATTTGTTCTCACACTGCCATGCAGAATTTAGCTCAGTGGATACTAAATGGAGTTTGGAATCTCTGTTACATCTCTTCCCTTCTCGTAAAAGGAATCACAAAGCAGAGAGGTAACTCTGATAACATGTGCTCAAGGTGTACTTGAGCACCTCTTCACTTGGTCTAGTGAGGAGATGTCTTTGCCCAGGGCAGGGGTTGGGACTAGATGATCTGTAAGGTCCATTCCAACCCTTAAATTCTATGATTCTATGAATCATTGTCACAATATAATTTGGGGAGTAAAACATCCGTTTTAAACAATTATGTGAACATAAGACATTTCTCTGCCACCAACAGTCTTAAATTTTAGAAATTACTCTTATTTTCCTAGAAACTACATATGTGAACACAAAGATTCGTGCTACAGTTTTCACCGAGTTGCTTAGAAGTAAAAAAATAAATCTATGCATTCAAGCAAAATAATTCAATGTAATTTTGTAAGCACTGAAGAGAAACGTTTTATATTATCTAAAACTTCCTTTCTAATTCCCCTTCCTGAAACCCTCTCCAAAAGTCCACATTTGTTATACCAAAATAGATATCAAACCAAAAGGGATATATATGGAAACTACTATTTGGCCTTTTTTTTTTTTTTTTTAAGTAGAAAGATTGACTAGATATTAACACAAATGGGTTTAAATGTGAAGCTGCCATAAAAGCAGGCACATAAATGTAATTCTCCCAGCCGCTATTTTGATGCACATTTTTGATTCCATGAATATTTTATGAAATGGCCCAAACTAAAGCCATATAACATTCCTGCATTACTGATGCTTCGCCCGTAAGCTACAAACATTAGAGGCATGATTGAGTGCATTAAAATGAACTCATTCAGCAGTGCATTGATTACTTGAAGAAGGGGAAAAAAAAAGTTACTCTCACTTAAGAAAACAGCACACAAATCTGAAGTTTTCAATATTGAAATTAAAGAGGCAAGTTTGAAGAATGTGGTGCTTAATACATAAAGGCAGTGCAGAACTGTCTAGAATTCTCTATGTACAGCCCTGACTTTAATTAGGTGAGATGTTAATTAGGTCCACAGATTGCTTCCAGTAGTGTACAGGTAATTTAAAATGTCACAATCTGCAAAATGCAGGGAGTGACCTGCTCGAGCTCCATGCCTCAGCAATACTGAGAGCTCCTAATGATTTCCTTTGCTATCAGCTTGTGTATTTGCCAATGAAAATAATGCCACAGAAACAGCTGCACAGGAGAAGTGACAGCTCTGTTAGGTTCACTGCCTCAGCAGCACCAACACGAGCAGAGAGCACATTTAATTCTAGATTGCAAACAGTTGTTGAGGACTTCAGAAAATATTCCACTGTAGTTTAAAATTGCAACAACCTAAAGGAACAATAAAGCTGTAAGTATATTATAGTATGTTTTAATCTAGATGTCTTTTGCCATCAGTTATTCCACTGTGCAACATGAAAAGAGAATCTGGTTGAAGCAGCAGTGAATGGTAGCAAATAAACCAA